TCGTTCTCTCTGTCTCAAATTTCACCACTAATTTCACAAAAATAAAAAAGTAAACAATACATATTTTATTAGCACATTCGCACTGCAAATCCAGTGATAAGATACGCCCGATGATGATGACGACACTGACGACAAAGACGATGTTGAGAACGATGAAGCGCAATAAGTTGCAAAAGCTCATCAGTCTTTGTGGTGATTGATTCGTAGACAACCTTTAAGTAAAATTTAGGCGGGATTTCACTGCCATCGAGTATTGATATTTGAAACCAATTGATTAATAATAATGACGTTGGTTGCGGTGATGTTGTCGGTGGTAGTGTACTAATATTGTTACCCCTACCTCCTTCATCAGTCGAAGCTGCGATACCTTAACCAGTGGTAGTAGCGTGGCCGTAATAAGGAATTTAGACATGTACGTGTATTATGTTGTCACTATTTTGCATACGTCCAAACTTCATTTAAATTTCTCTTCTCGTTGTTGTTGTTGTATATTTTTATTGTTATTTATCGATCAATCTGATTTTTCTTTAAAATATGTCAGAGAAGAACAACACTATGTAAATTTACTATGAAGTAGATCAACACGTTGTTTCCTGTCGCTTTGTTTTGCATATATTTATGACATTACTTCCGACACCAGTAAAGAGACGGGGAACAACGTTTTGGTTGGCTAGTAATCCCAACAAGGTAAGACGTCTTCCCTGATAATTGTAATTTGGGGTAGACCTAATAAAAGAAAAAAAAAAAAAAAAGAAAGAAAATAAAGGGAGAAAAAAAGGACATCTTTTTATTGGCCTAGGGGTAGACACCGAACCATAAAATATCACTTCACAGGGTCGATGTATTATAGTATAGGACTAGGCTGACTAGCATAGAAGCTGTAATAGAATATGACTGCTATGGTTTTAGGGGGAACTCTATGTACCCATAAGATATCTATTATTGTAACAGTTACATACAACCTTATTTAGACTGCTGTAATACAGTATGGGGTAATTCAAATGATAAAAACATAGCAAAGCTTGCACATGTTAAAAAAAAGAGCATGTGGACTAATATCAATCCAGAAAGAAAGCAAAGAAAATTTTACTGGTATATTAAAGATATTACATATTAAAAAACCGAATCCGGCTGAAAAAAGCCAAATTAATGTACAGGATATAAATTAATGGTGTTTCTGAATATCTACAACCAATGTTCCATTATAGGCTACCTGGTAATACTCCCGACATGCGACCTATGTCTACCAAACAGAAAATTCCCAAACCAAATAAGAAATTATTAAAAGAAAAATTTTCAATACTCTGGAACTTTGCTCAGGATTAGTATTCCAATTGACACTCGAAATGCCCACTCTTAGTTCCTTCTTCCAAAGCCAATACATCCATTGAATTCAGAGATGTGAGTAAAAAAAATAAATTCATTTGTATGAAGGCCTATAGGTAGATTAGTTCTTCAGGTGGCGCTCTACATTTTTGTATTTAGCATTAGAATTTTACAGAAAAATAATTTCCCCGAGTTTCCTCACTAGTTATAATGGCTATTTGAAAAAAGACTTTGTATATCGTAGGTATTGTTCGAAGAACCTTTAATTCCAATTATTTTGGTGCATGATTGATGGGTGTAATATGGGTTAGAGAGTATACAGCTTGACCTTACTCTTAATGTGCATCTTTCAAAAAAGTGCTAGCTCTACTTGCTCATTTTCACTTCCCGAAATTCAGAGGTGAATTGTAAAAAAGAAAGAGCCAATAACCTTTTTACATTTTATATATTTAGTAATTCATTCATTGCACTTTTAAAAGCTGGTTTTGTCTAGTTTGGCAAAATTCATTTTATCTATTTTAATAGCTGCCAAGAAATAAATAATTTAAACAAATTCAGGTTGATTTTTGGAGCACAAGGGAGCAGTCATTTTAGTTATCAGTGCGCTAAGATCATTTAAAATTTCCAAAAGTACAATATCTAAAGAAATTCTAGCCATATTATATGAAAGTAGCATATAGGTATGACAACATTCTCTCCACTGTGCATGTTTAAATTGCAAACAACTTCACCTTACATACATCACTCTCTCCAAAGTTCATAATAATTGGTGAGTGCCACCTCAGCTAATTGTGTTACCCGCTTTAAATAAAGTCATCATTATTATTATTATCATTATTATTTGTAAAAAGGGGAGGCATATTTAACTACTATAGTTCTCAGGAGTCTTGTGTGTCATGTGATTTTCATGTGACCAAACTTGGCGGCATATTTGGAGCTCTTGCAGTTGTGAAGGTACAAAACGTACCGCAGTCAAGTTAAGGTGAAAAATAGTCATGCAAAACTATAATTGAAAGTTGCTGTCTGGATTACTGATCAGAACGTTCTTTGCGTTTGGGCGATGTATTTATGAAAACACATCTGACGGTGATTGTTACGAGGTATGTTTTAAGACGAAAATCAGAAATTGCGTGCCGGTGAGATATGATTATGTTGTTGGAACAACACGTGCAGCATGATCATATTTTGTATACATATTTTAGGTTCGTTGGGGGAAAGTAATGAATGCACAGAACGTTTGAAATTATGTATTCACCATTTTCCATATAGTATCATAAATAAGACATCCACATCAAAATGTCTGCTCACATATCTCATATTCCTTGCACACTAGTTTTATTGCCGCTAAAGTAATCAAACTAAAATGACAGTGTAAGACAACATGCTTGATACCCACTACAACTGTGACTATAATTATAACAAAAACGCAGACGAAAGCAGATGAGAAAACTATCCAGATTTTAAAAAATATCCTGTTAGCCGAGTCTCGAGTTTATGATTACTCCATCAAAATATCCTGAATAAAATAGTTTACTCTAGAAATTGTTTGATTCCCATTGGCATTGTGTTTAAGTTGTCAGCGATTTGATGTGGGGCAAAAATATTGTGATTTAGCACTAAATTGAGCATGATAAAGACCTGCAAAAAGAATCAGAAAATTATTATTATTATTATTATTATTATTATTATTATTATTATTATTATTATTATTATTATTGCAAAATAAGATTAATAATCCTTTCAAAAAAAAGTGAGAAGATAATTACTGAAAGATAAGGATATTTGGATTTCTATTTTAATATTGATAATTTTTTTTTGTCTTCTCTAAAACTATCATTACTGACATTTCTAAATTGTAAATGTTGATTAAATTGCTAACATTTTATATACCTCATGTAATATAGGGATCAGATAATTTTCAATGATAACATCATTTTTTATGAATGTATTATTTTGGATTGTTTTGTATTAAAATGTGAAGAAAAGAAGATGACTAGGCCACAGGACATTTTTAAGATTACCATGTTTAGCATTGGCTTAATGCTATGACCATTCATGTATTTACTGATAATACACAGTGACCTACAGCACAACCATTATAATCTCAAGGGGAATCAGGATATCTCTTTTGTGCCCTCTAATCCATTTAATTCAAATATTGTCTTCATTTAGCAGTAAAGCTTGTCTTATCAGCTAGGTGATTTACCTGGCTACTTTTATTGTATGCCCAGACATTTAAGAAAAGCTCTATATCATTTGAACCACTTCCTATTTAGGCAACTCACCCTCCGACTTTAGATCTAATGGAAGACCCAGAGCAGGGTCACACAAGAGTTGGATTCAGGTAAATAAATTTCCCCAATGCCTATCATTTTGCCTCAATATGTAGAGAAAGTGAAGTTGACTTCTCCCTCCCTACTCAAAATTGATGTTTCTATGTTTTGTTTTGTTTTTTGAGGGTGCTCTTCCTGGTTGATCTTTTTAGACCATTTAGGGAGAAAGGTCCTCCTGTCGTACATGTAAAAATTATTCTATGTTATATATTTGTTCTATTAATGATGAAGTTTGGCTAAAGTGTTTATATTGTAGAGTTCTATATATTTCTATTTCTGTAAAAATTGACTAGAATGTACATGTATCTGTATATTTAGGTTCATTTATTTTTCTTCATAAAATTTAAATTTTTTTTTCTTCCAATTATGCTTAGTCAAGAGTTTTGTCTTCTTGAGGAGGTAACTTTATTTCCATTGTTTTTCCATTTCTAGCATTTGCTCTTTCTTCATTTCTAACATTTTCCTCCTATATTCTCTCCTTTTTTCTCTTTCTCTGTCATTAGAATGTTTCAGTCAGATTACTTGCTGGTGTGTGTGTTTGTTTGGAACCTTTTGCTGCCAGAGCTAAAACTGTCTATTTGTTTTCTGATTAGTTGGTTTCTTGTGTTCTAAAGTTTGATTGCTGTTTTTGTTGTTGTTGTTGTTGTCCCTGAGTCATTTGTTTTATATTGTTGCTGATGTTGTGGGATTTGAATTTGTTCCTATGTTGTTTTCTTCAAGACGTTTCCTCTTGTGTATTTAGTACTTTTTTTTAGGGTTTATTTGTTCTTTCTGTTTTCTGGAGTATCTTTGCTTTTGTTGTTGCTGTTGTTACTGTTGTCATTTCTTGTTGTTTTATCATCAATTCTCCAGAATTTTTGGGCATTTGTGTGGAGTTTGTCCTGTGTCTCCACCTTTTTTTTTTCCTACCTTGTTCTACCTTATATAATGACAATCTGTGTTTGGGTGTTGTTGTTGTATCTGTTGTATCTTTAGAGATGACTTGTTCTTGTTGTTTCATCATTTTCCTTCTCACTTATTTCATAACCTGATTTTCATTATATTTTTTTTACATTTGTGTGGAGCATGTCCTGTTTGTCCACACCTGTTGCAAGTTCTGTGATTTATGTGTATATGATTTTTAACGTAGCTTTAACAATTTTTCAGTTTTATCACTAGATGTCTGCCGTGTGGCAGTTTATAATGATATCTAACACTTTGGCATCATGCTGCAGATATGTAGCATGATGTCCCACCCAGTCACATTATCCTGACACCAGGCCGACCAGTCCTAACACTGACCTCTTAATGCTGAGTGTCAAGCGAGGTAGCTATTAAAACCATTTTTGTAAGTCTTTGGTATGACTGGACTGGGGATCAAACCCACAAACTCCAGCATCCAAGACAGATGCTTTAACCATTAGGCCACCGGAGCAGTTTTCTGTGATATATGCAACCTTTGTATGATGTTTTTACTAGGAATCCAAATAAATTAAAAGCTATTTTTTACTTCTCTCAGTTTGCTCTTTTCAATTTCAAAAATCCATGTAACATTTTAAATTCTCAATAGAGGAATAGTGTCCATTCATGCCAATATAACCGTTATGTTGAATTTTTCCTAACATTTTTCATTTCTTGCTTGTAATGGTATTTCAAGGGGAATGTCTGAGAAATGTAATTCTCCCGTTTGTTTCTTGATTTTCCACCTGATTGTGTTACTGGTAGCTCTTTAATTTGCATTTTCCTATACGAAGTACTGGTTATGTTCATTTTGGTCTCGATATGTATGATTAATATATCCTCCAATTGATAGAATATGTTTTCTCAATGTATTCCGGGTTTAATACCTTAATTGCAACCATTATGTCTCCCATTTTCAGTATTCTATATCTTGGTATGTTGGACATACCTGACTCCAGCAACCATTCCTGGTAAAGAAATTCTATAAATGAGCCTTCTGCTGTCTCTATTTTTCTTGTTTTGAAGAAAATTTCTAAGTCTCTTGTAATCGCCATGTAAGCCTTGTGCACTGCCATTTTCTCTCGTGCATTCTCATGTTTTTCAGGCCATTGAATGCTTTTAAGACTGTAAGCTCAGTTTAACTTTGCATCAAGTGACTAACATAAAACAGTTTAAACATTCAGTTTTGTGGTTTTAATAAACTTTTGTGTTTTTTAAATAACTTTATATTGTAATCTTTGAGATTGCTGCAGAATATTTATAAATGAAGCAATTAATTTTATTTACTCACAGTAATTTTATTAGGAAATATTTTGTATTTCTATCTATGTCTGCATTTCTTGTTTCCCTGGATCCATGCCATTGGCCCAGGTTCATTGCACAGGTCGTGTATCAGACTGTTCACAAAGGCAGTAAGCCAGACCAATTACATGGAAAGTTTGTTGCTTAATGTAGGAACCAGTCACAATTGAAATTGTATGTGCCAAATGTTTTTAGCATTAAAATATGAGCTGTCCTAGCAGTTTGAAAATATTTATGAAATGTTGCTGCATTATGATTCAGATTATTGTTATAGCATTATTATTCAAGTTGTTACTACATTATGATTCAGATTATTGTAGCTACATTATGATTCAGATTACTGTTGTTATATTATGATTTAGATTATTGTTGCTACATGATTTAGATTATTGTTACTTTTTTATGATTCAGATTACTGTTACTACACTATGATTACCAGTAAGATTATTGCTGTTACATTGATTCAGATTATTGTTACTACATATTGATTCAGATTATTGTTACAACAAAATGATTCAGATTACTGTTACTACACTATAATTAAGATTATTGTTGTTACATTATGATTTAGATTTTTGTTGCTATATTATGATTTAGATTACTGTTGCTACATGATTTAGATTATTGTTGCTTCATTATGATTCAGATTATTGTTACTACACTATAATTAAGATTATTGTTGTTACATTATGATTCAGTTTTTTGTTGCTATATTATGATTGAGATTATTGTTGCTACATGATTCAGATTATTGTTGCTACATGATTCAGATTATTGTTGCTACATTATGATTCAAATTATTGTTGCTACATTATGATTCAGATTACTGTTACTACACTATGATTAAGATTATTATTGTTACATTATGATTCAGATTATTGTTACTACATTATGTTTCAGATTTCTGTTGCTATATTATGATTCAGATTACTGTTGCTACATGATTCAGATTATTGTTGCTACCTTATGATTCAGATTATTGTTGCTACATTATGATTCAGATTACTGTTACTACACTATGATTACCAGTAAGATTTTTGCTGTTACATTATGATTCAGATTATTGTTACTACATATCGATTCAGGTTATTATTGCTACAAAATGATTCAGATTACTGTTACTACACTATAATTAAGATTATGGTTGTTACATTATGATTCATATTATTGTTACTACATTATGATTTAGATTTCTGTTGCTATAGTATGATTCAGGTTATTGTTGCTACATGATTCAGATTATTGTTGCTACATTATGATTCAGATTATTGTTGCTACATTATGATTCAGATTATTGTTGCTACATTATGAGTCAGATTATTGTTGCTACATTATGTTTCAGATTTCTGTTGCTATATTTTATTCAGATTACAGTTGCTACATGATTCAGATTATTATTGCTACATTATGATTCAGATTATTATTGCTACATTATGATTCAGATTATTGTTGCTACATATTGATTCAGATTATTGTTGCTACATTATGATTCAGATTATTGTTGCTACATATTGATTCAGATTATTGTTGCTACATTATGATTCAGATTATTGTTGCTACATATTGATTCAGACTATTGTTACTACATTATGATTCAGATTATTGTTGCTACATATTGATTCAGACTAATGTTGCTACATTATGATTCAGATGATTGTTGCTACATATTGATTCATATTACTGATGCTACATGATTGAGATTATTGTTGCTACATTATGATTTAGATTGGGACAGGACAATAAATTGATGATCTTCACTTGTCAGTTATGTCTTTGTAGTCATAATGTAACCATTGATGACTGTAGTCATAACTTGGAGCTTTGCTGGAGTTTTCACTGGGTATCTAAATCACAAAACAGGTAGCGAATCTGTTGCTGATGAAGGTGAAATAGTGCTATCCTTGACATACCAATCCTTTATTGAGGTCTTTGCACTGCCACATTTAGACAAAATATGATGCAGCATGGTTAGTCCTTTTTTTATACACAACACTGCCTTTGAGACATGTTTTAAGGTTATGCCTTTACGATATGTTTTAAGGTTATGCCTTTAAGATTTGTTTTAAGGTTATGCCTTTGAGATTTGTTTTAGGGTTATTTTAGGCAATTTGTTTGACTAAATGTGTTCATGAGCACTTTTTCTGTTATTGATGAAACCTTGAATGTGTTCGATTTCCAAAGTTGAACTGAATCATTTATAAGAGTTATGCTCCTGATTGTCTTCCCTTGTCAAAGCATATGTACAACCTCCCTGCATTGATTCTTCCTGGGTCCTATGCAGCTGTTTGGAGTAGATTTCATGGCACATGCTGATGGAGGAAAGGAATAAAAGGAGGCAAATTTGTACTTATAAGCTCAATGTTTACATGTATATATTTTGTTTAAAGTTTTTGTGTTTTGCTTAGATTTTTGCAGCCAGTATACATACTGTTGTATATGCAATAAATGGAACTTTGTTAGTCGATGTATTTGGACAAGTATTAAGCCTCATCACAGAAGTAGGTCACTGTGATTAAGTTTCATGATTTATCATCATTGGTTAAATTTCATGATCTAAGTTTTTCAAGAACTGTTTATGGTATAATCATCAAACGGTAAGATTGTATACATCTTTATTACTACCACACACTTACAATACAAAATAAGGTCACTGTTGCTTGTTTTGCATTTTACTGGCTTTGGTTCCATTTTTCACTCACCTCTGTAAAGTGGAGAAGAGCTCTGGAAATACCCAGGATATTGGTATTTACATCCACACTCATAAAATCATATATATATATATATATATATATATATATATATATATATATATATATATATATATATATATATATATATATATATATATATGGATTCTTTAATTCTTCCTAGGTCCTGGGAAACAGTTTTAGAGTAGGTTTCATAGTACAAGCCCCTTAGGGACAAAGTTAACTTTGCTCATATTTAAACATACATTTTTTGCATCATTTATGTACACGTAGGGTATATATATATATATATATATATATATATATATATATATATATATATATATATATATATATATTATATATATATATATATATATATATATATATATATATATATATATATATATATATATATATATATAATGTTTTTGTAGATATAGGTGTTGTTTGTAGGTAGTCCTGGCTGGAATCATAAAGTTTTATGAGCTGTGCATTCTTGAGTACAGTGTCCTAATCTGAAAAGCTGGTTGCTGTGATCTACATGTTATTCAGCAATCTGGGTAAATTTTTTTGTGTGAATATTTCTTAAGTACTGTTTATTTTTATTAGGAAGGGTAATCATTAGGAAAGATATGTTTTGAATGATGTTTTTCACTTCCAGCAGTAATTTGATAAATGATCCAGGTCATCACTTCATGTCCTTGTATCAGTGCCGGTCTGATCAACTTCTTGACTATTAGATCTTGATTTTAATTTTACTGAAAATTTTGTAATCATGTTATAGGCAGCAATATAAACCATGTTTCCTACATTTTTGAACTTTTTGGACTTGGATATTTTTGGTATGCGGTAGGGACATAAATCTTTAGCAGACATACAGTAAATCTTGTTGATCAGAACTCAAATGTTGTTTATAATTGAAGCACACATCCAGACCCCAGCATGCCTTGTAGGATGGGAATGAACTACTTGAACATGCAGATTTCCTGATAACTTGCTGCTACACACACACCCATAGTGAATCTTTAGCACTAAAATCGATGTTATACCAATCCAAACAACTTATTTTTTTTTGCTCCATTTACCATGTGAAAAAGAGGATGTACCTCCAAAGTGGAGAGCTGCCAACATGGAGCTAATGAGACTTTTAGAAATCATTGGTTGTATATTAGTTTGTACAATATGGTGACCTAGAGCTGCACGTGCTTAATGTGATGTCAGATCAAAATCTATGTTGTTGCAGTCAAAATTAACTTATACTTGTATGTGAATATATATGGTAAACATCAAAATGCATTATTTCATATGTTGCACAGACAGTACTTCAACATAAATGGTAAATAATGTTTTGTTTTGTTTTATATTTTAATTCTCATAGGATTAAATTTATGTATGGGATTTTTTATGACCCAGTATTTCTTTTCACTCCAACTCTTGGCCCCCCACTGGGTTATGTCCCTTGGATTTTAGAAGATGGATGCTTTTTA